TGGTGGGGCCGACGGTGCTTCGCTCGACCTTTGGGACTTCCTCGCTGGTTGTCCCTGTGGCGATTCCTCCTCCGAGCGAGTCCTTTTGATGGAGCGCTCGGATTCGGGTTTCGAAGCCTCGAAACGATACCCCATAGCCCTGAGTTCCGCAAAGGTTTTAGCGGACAGTTCGTAGGCTTTTGCAGCCTCCACTCCCTGTCCCCTAAGAGCCTTAAGTCGGATTAAGGCTGCCCCACTCAATCTTTTGCGTTTGGGTCGGGCAGCATCAGAGGAGGTGGCAGCAGGGTTACCAGTAGGTGATTCAGGGCTTGTAGAAGCCCCTATCGCCATTTCGGTGCCTGCAGTCACCTCCATTGGTTGCGCTGACATTTGGGCGGTTTCATCCGCACCCATTGTCAGCGGCATGAGGTCCTGGCACAATTCGTCCAGGGTTTGTGACGTGGTAACGTCATTTACTTTTTTATCTTTTTGGTCCATATTCATTCAGGTCCCACGAGTAGCTAGGGAAATAAAAATGCCCACCGACAGAGCCCCGCATGTCGATGGGAGGACTTAAAATACTACCCGATTCGTCCAGGTGTCGGATAGCCACCGTTAGCGACTGAGCTCCCCCCCAGCCACGCATCCCTCGGCACGGTACGAATAACACCTTGGATTGGGTTCTAAACTAAAGCTATACATATACGTACATATATATTTCATAGATACACTTACATAGTTAGATAGATACTGACAGTTACTTTTACTGACAGTTAAACTTACTGATAGTTAAACTAACTGACAGTTAAGCTAACTGGCAGTTAAGGTAACTGACAGTTAAACTAACTAGCCGTTAATCGTACTGCCAGTTACACAAACAGTTAAAGAAACAGTTACACACAACAAACAAACAAATAAATATAAAACATTTCTATAATCTCGCGTAAACTCTGAATAACCCATCAGTGATATGCACCTTCAATATTTTTTTAAATGTAGGCCGAAGTCATATCTCTAGGGGTTTTTATTACTTTTTCGATATCTTATTGACATTGAGATATGTTTTTTTTCTGACCGAAACTGAGCGAAAAGCGACCGCATTTTTCACATTTTTTTCGATTAAAAAAAAAGCCTTTGAGTGTTTTCAAATTATTATTCTTTGCATTTTGTAGCCCCCATTCACACGCATCTTTTAACATCCCAATCAACCAAGTAGTCCCAAAATCCACGACATCAGGTCGATGTCGCACTTTCGCTGAAAATCGGGCCTATACTGAAGCGACAAAAAAAATATTTTCAATGTTAAAATATTAGTCAGCTCACTCCTTGTGAATTACTTAGAGTGACTCAGAGAGAGAGGCCAATCTATTGAGTGAAATCTGTAGGTAACACGACTAGTACCGTATTTTATCCGTGAAAGCTCCGTTGTAAGTGAGGCTTTAAATACAAAAAATATATCAAATTAAAAATATTACCTTCCTTCTGGGGCAGTCGGGTTAAAGTAACAAATACTTTTTTCATCAGCGATACAAAATACAACTTTTAATCTCGGATATAAATATAGAAATGCCCAGTATTGTTCAATGCAATGTCAAATATCTACAACATAAAAATAACGGATTGGTAGTTTCTCTTTGCCGATTATATACATTTTACATGCCTAATCAGATATTTTCGAAGTAGGTATGCCTTGATTTGTATCGGCTGGCACAGACTTCGAAAATATTTGATTAGGTATCTATAGTGAATGAAAATTACCAATCAGTTATTTTTTTACTTTTTAGTGTTTTTACTTTTTATGAGGTCGTTTTTTTTAAAAGAATTGTTGTTTTTCCCTTTTTAGTGTAGACATAGTTACTACTATGAAGAAAGTATTTTAATAAAGCATTCGCTTAAACCGTATAAAGTTAATTTGATGCCAATTCTTATATGAAGACTGACAAACTAAAATTCGCTTTTATTAGTAACGCTAAAGATTCCTGCTCTAAAATTAAATTCTAACATATTGGTTTTGTCAAAACAAACAATATAAAAAATAAAATAAGACCAAACTCAAAGTATCTAGGTACTGTTAGATACCGAATTGAGAACCTCTTCCGTTTTGAAAATCACAATAAGCCCTTTTGTCACCAACTAGTAAAGTATTCGTAACCCTTATCAATTTATCACCTCGTCCCCAAATAACTAAGAATCAAATGTCTACGACACAAGCCCTTTTCAATTACAATTACCGCTTTGAATATAGACAAGTATCATCGGAATGAGCACTGTTTTAATCCCCAGGCTTAAAATTAATTCCCTTTGACGTACTATGTTGAACGCTTCTTCTGCGTCTTTAATAAAAACCCGATTAAAATACGATGCTTGCAATCAAAAGAGAAACAATTTTAAACAGAATAAAAGCAATGAAAAATAATTGGTCCAACAATGTTTGTGGTGAAATCCATATTTTTATAGTAAACTAGCAGAACCCGCGACTTCGCTCGCGCTAAAACTACAAAAAATCTCTAGAAAGGTAGTTTCATACAAACTTTCATCCCCTTTTTTTTTTTTTTTTTTTTTTTTTTTTTTTTAACGTTGGGAAATGCATTTACGCACGACGTGTGGGACTCACCGGCGTAATACAGCCAGTACTACCCACTAAAACCCAACAAAACCTTCCCCCGTCTTAATGGGGCGTCGCAGGATCGCTTACGCATTCAACTACGACGCCCCGACGGCAGGTCTGCCGAAGCAGACCACCACAACCATGGGGTTGCTCCACAGTCCACTCTGCTATCAGAGAAGTACCAGGAGCAACCCGCATGGTACACCGCCCCCCGGAGAGGGCCACCTCCCACCGCCCACCGAAGTGGGCAACCTCCCTGTGCGTTTCTTAGCTTCGCGCCCGGTTGGATTGCCGGGCACTACTGAGCCCCCCCACCACGACAAGGTGAACACACGTTGGGGGGGAAACTTTCATCCCCTAGTTTACCCCCTTGTAGGATGAATTTTGAGAAATGCTGAAACACGTATTTATTTAATTTTATTGAAGAGCATTAATACTGAGTTTCAAGTAAATCTGACCATAAATATTTTTATGGATTATATTATAACGTGTTTTCCCGTGGGAATAAGATAATCTCTCTCGGTAAAAAGTATGCCTATATCACTCTCCAGCCTCTCCAACTATCTCCACACAAAGTCACGTCAAACACTCAGTCCGTTTTGACGTGAAAGAAGAACAAACAAACAATCAAACAATTTACACTTACACATTTATAATATTAAGTATGGATACAGAAGGTTTTCCTTACTTATCTGAAAAGTATATTTAAAGCAGATATTCAAAGCTTATTGGAACAAAATTGTTAAGCCAAAGTTCTATAGTCCAAGTTTTCATTGTCATTTGATGTATCATTGGAACTATCGGTATCATTAAAAATAATATTATCAAATTAAGTACAATTTCTGTCAACGGCCGTCGAGCAGCTGAAAAAGAGCAAAAATATGTTTTCTTCTTAATTTCAAGCGGATAAAGCTAATAAAGGGGAAAATATATTAAGCTTATTTTAAAATATGTATCCTAAAACTAATTTAAAAGTGGCAGCAGCGTCCATCAAGTAGAGTGGAGTCTTATTAAAATCAAAATAACGAATATTATCATATTGACTTCTATGAATGGTGTATATATATATTCCCATATATTTATATTTAATTTACATTATATTTATATTTTATATTATAACTATACCTACTGGTCGTAAAAGTTAGATTACAATCAAAATTTATTAATTCTTTATTCATAATACTCCACAACATCATTATGACTGTCAAATAAAATTTTCCTTTTGATTTTAAGTGTATATTAATAGCGACTCACCCTCGCTTGGCTCTGGTTCGTCCCTAGGTTGCTGCCCCATCCAAACTTTCACCCCCATTTTCTCAAACTATCTTCTTACCAAATTTCATCCAAATCGGTTCAATAGTTTCGGAACCTATTCGATACAAACAAACTAATAAAAAAAACATTTTTTTCCTCTTTATAATATTAGAAAGATAAATTACACATTTTTGTCAAAGAACCTTAAGCCATCTAAAAATGATTATTCTTGAGCTGAATTTTTGTGATTAAACACCCAACTTTTTTCTCTAAGAAATATAACGATACTGGCAGCTTGTAGAAGGTACAGGTGTTTACAATGTTTAATGATTGATTTGCTGTTTTGTTTATTAAAATTTTTATTCTAAAAGTTAACTAGTTAAAAGTAACAATTCTTATAGATTAAAAACCACTTTCAGACATGCCCTTTGTAAATTACATAAAACAACATGATGAATACGAACGACTTGAAGTAAAGATAAAAGTAAGAAATAAGAAAACAAAATTAAATGTTTTATTATTATTTATTCAATAGATCACAACAAATCATCGATAGATCGATGTTGGTATTCAAGATTTACATCGTAATTGACTCTAAGTCTACAAAAAATGAACTTACAATGTGTGTGCTTAGTTAGCCTTTCTGAGTGACCACATAGGACTTTTTAGATAATGTATTTCAAATTATTATTTACACTTTGAAAAACTTTTGTAATCTTTTCTATTTAAATTTTAAATTCTAAATTATTCGGGAAAAACATGTCTATAATTTATCAAATAAATATTTAGTTTTTTAAATAAGTAATTAAAAATGTAAAAATTACTTTTCAAAAAATACGCGATCATTATTATAAATATAACATAACATGAACTAATTATTAAGTAAAATAATAACATTAATACGAAGACATCTTAAATGCTCTATTTTTTCTAAGAAATATAATGTACAAGAGTAAAATCTTAATTTGTAATTTTTTTTGGTAAACATGCTGGGAAAAGTTATTAAATTAATGTAAAAATAACCTGGGCGTAGAAAAGTAATTTTGTTCCCATATTTATATTTACATAAATTTTTCAAGTCAACACTATCGTGAATAATAAATTCTCTGGATTGTTAAGAATCTTCTCATTAAAAAGGTTTTTTTTGGCATATACTTTACAATATCACAAGAAAATACGATGAAGTAATAAGTAATAACAATTTGTTTAAGCTTAAACATGAGACATTATTTTCTTCTGCTGGCAAAAAAGAACTGGGAGCGGCCGGTGCCGCTTGAGATTTATTTTCTTCAAAGGTCCCACTCCCTTCTCCCTCATCTTCATCATCATCAGGCGGCACCGTCGCTTCATTCTTTAAAGCTTCTGCTCGTGGTGCTTCGTCTGATCCTCCAAATGTTAACAAATTCATGGTTGTTTCGTAAACGGACTTTTCATTTGCTTTACTAGAATTTGTTATAACTCCATATAATTCTGAAAAAGTCACGTTCACGAAAGCAGACGATTTTAGAAAAGCTACAGTAAGCTCAGTAGTGTTAATTGGGATTTTTGCTGAAAAATTAAGTAGCTCATTTCGTAGTTGTGCGGAATATGGCGCGTTGCAGAGATGGTATTCACATATACAGATCATCTCCAGGGCCAATTTCGAATTAAACGTTAATGAACACGGCAGCTCGCTTGCAACGGCGCATGTTAATGTGGACGTAAAATCTGCAAAAGAGAATATTTTAGTTAGCATATACTTATTTGATCATTTTCTTAAATCAATATTCTGTTTTAATAAAAATAAAGCCACATAAAATATACTATACTTAGAGCTGTTACAAAAACTAAATGTTCGTAATTCTACATCTAGAGAACTGGAACTATCGATAGCGTAGAAATAAAGTTCGTTCGGACCGTGATTGCACTATTAACAACCCTTATCACGTTGATAGCGGTTATATTTTAGTATTATCTGAACCTGAACCTCAGCAGTATGATGTACTTGGGGGCTTACAAACTGATTTTAAATACAGCATTTTTCTTATTGTCATGGATTTACCATTGCCATTGAAATTTATTGGCCACCATTTAGCTTTCATTTGAAAAAGTTTTCGTTGTTTGTGCTATTTATTTCCATGTGAGCGCATGTGTTTCCAAAAAATTCGTTCGTGTAATCTAAGACATGTAGATGTAAAAGCCTGTTTTTGTATATTAAAAGTATATCTAAATATACAAGATACATACTTTAATATCGCCAAGCTAAGCGTGTATGTTTTTTTGTTCGTCTATGTTTTGTTTATTTTCATTTTAATATTTAACGGATCACACATTGATCGATTGATGAGTTTTATATATTTGATAGAAGTACCTATTAAAAATATTATCTATGTATTACGAAGTGTTTGTGTGCTTTAATATCCAAATTTAATAAACAAAAATCTGCTCCCCTAGAAGAGGCAATATCAATTATTACTCTCATTAGAGAACGCTCAATTTATATTATAGTACGCTAATTAACACTCCTAATTAATTGTTATTGATTGTTTTCTACCGAGGATTAATAAAGTACCACCAGCACTTGAAATCTATACATCTATAAATAAAATTGAAGTGTCTGTTTGTAATGTCAAAATAACATCGTTTCACTAAATGCATATTATATACGGTACTTATAAGAAAAACATTTTTTTAGATTTTTGTCTGTCTGTCTATTTGTTCCGGATAATCTCTGAAATTACTGATTTTGACAGAACTTTCACTGGAAGATAGCTGATGTTATTGGGAGCAACATAGGCTACTTTTATTTAAAAAAAAACAATTAGGGTTCCGCTCAAAAAAATTAAAACGTACCTATATATAATTCTATGTAACATAATACATATTCATACAAATACGAAAAATCTTTAAAAAATATAAGAATATATTACTGGGCGATGCCGCTACAGTTGCACAAAATGGTTGACCAGCTGGGCAAACAACAGGAGAGCCGGGAAGTTCACATGCTGTTGAATTGTGACTGCAATGGTGACATCTCCGAGGTGATAGATCTGAAAATAGTAATACTGTAAAAATTTGAAGATTTCCAAATTACAAAAATTTCTGTATACAAGTATGGTCTAACAGAATAAAAATGTTCTTTTTTGTATGACTATTAAAAAATACCCATTTAGGTGTTGAATGGGTAAAAAAATAATTCTACTCAAACGGTAATTTCATTTAGGTCATCATTTTATTAACAAATATACTCTCAAAAAGCCATTCAGATGCAGCTACCGCTGTTTGGGTGTTAATGAATTGTTCATAAAAGGTAGCTTTATATAACGTATAGATAAAATATAAATAATAACAGTTTTACATCTTTTTTTATATCCGTTTGTTTGAATCGAATATTTATGTATTTCAAATCTCTTATCCTTACGGCTGAAACACAAACACGCTCTCATGAGAACAATATATAAAATGTGAATAAGATCAATACTGTCCAGTCTGTCTGACTGTTTAGTATATTCTGTTTTATTTATATTAAAAACAACTTGACTACAGAAAACGGGTCTGAATAAACAAAACCATATTTTGACTATAAAATGTTACTAAAAGATACGTGATTATTATCATTTATATTGATACAGGATGCGTGATTTATAATAAAGAAAATATCCCCCTGATTAACCCCCTGACGGTAAGATATTAGGCGTAGGACCGACGACTCTACTATTAACTCCGGGTTAATATAAGAGTTACTTGAAAGTAAACCTAAATAGCTTTAATTAGCCCGAACCGGGATAGAATCCAGGACCTCAGGATCTACAGCTATATATGATAACCACTAAACCGATGAGGCAGTGAAAGGTATGTGTAATCATTCTATTAAATAACATGAGTTATATTACTATCTCAACAACGAAAGTTGAAATAATATAATAAGGCATTAAAGTAATATTTTATTATTTCCCTAACAATATCTATAATTTGGCATTAACTAAACTCAAATATTTCAGTATTCCAAACTTATGACTCGCGGCGTAGCTTTAATAGAGCCACTCAACAACAATAAACTTTGTATAAATTGTACAACCGCTCCCTGACTCGAACTATAAATTGAAGAGAAGTATTAATATTAAAGTATTCATTGGATTCTTAATAAAAGAAAAATATGTATTAGCAGATGGTTCGATTGTTATATTTGGGCGTGCTCTTGAATAAAAATTGAAAGCTGCTTCAAATATCTATCTCTAGTTTAAATAAAACAGTTAAAAAAGTCGCATGTTAAAAATATTAAATTAGTTAATTATATGGTTTAAGAAAATTGTTGGTTGCTTTGCAAAATAATTTCTTGTAAATGTATGTTAGGTTCCTTGAAGATATTGCTTAAAATTTGGCTCTACATTAGTTAAAGTAAAAAGTATTATCAATGTTTTATTTTAAAAGACATTTTATTAAAATTAAAATTGATGTTTAGATTTGTTTTTGGTTAGACGCAACATAACTGAAACGTTTAGATTAGCGTTGACCATACAAAGACAAACATTTCAGTTAAATTTTTCAGTAGAGTTCAGTTCAGTTTTTACGCATCTTTTTTTCTACGTTTTTTTCCAATAAGCCAAATTTCCTGCGCATCTGTCTATAAAGAAAGCGGATCCAGGAATCCGCCCCAAGCCACTTTCACACTGTACAGATAAATCGTATATAGTATTTAGGTGATTATTTATAGCTACACAAAAATATTATTCTCATTTTTGTGTAGGTATATAAAAGAGATATTGACCTTGAATATCAAACTTGCTGCGATAAGATTATAACCACACCAAGTACAAGTAATTTTTATTGAAACCTTTTTAATAAATTAATTTTTGTATACATTTGACGCTTAACAAATCGTGTTTATAATGATCTAGATTGATATACTAGTATAGTATTATGTGATCTCCTCTAACAAGAGGCAGTGGTAGCCCAGTGGTAACGCGCTCGATTGGGAAACCGAGGGGAGCAGGTACAAATCTCGGGTCTCGCACCTCTGATATTTTCATGTGCGAATCGTTTTCAACATGATTGATTACCACTTGTCTTATGGTGAAGGAAAACATCGTGACGAAACCTGCGTGTTTGAGAAAACCTAACAAGTTCTTGAAAGATATGTGAAGTCTGCCAACCCGCACTTGGTCAGCGTGGTAGACTGTAGCCTGATCCCCCTAGTATTGAAGGGAGGCCCGTACCCAGCAGTTGGACGTTAAAAAGGGCTGAATACATTATGTGATCTGTGGTGAAATATTCTTAGGTATCTAGGAACATATCCAAGCGAAGCGAGTGTAAGTATTCCAATAATAATAATTATAACGTATAAAAGTCCGACAATAGTAATTAAAACATACAAGGAGACTAACATAACTATGTAACTAGTCGTTTTTTATATTTTCGTTACTTATAAAAATGTTGAAAGGGTGAAATTATTTGATTTATCAATGAGAAAACTGAAACATGTAATATATAAAATTAGTTATTATTATTTATATATAAATATTTAAATATTATTTTCAAACATCCAAACAATACGTAGTTAAAATACACGTGAGAGAACTCCTTCACAATCTCTTTTTCCCCCCGGACTTCAACCCCAAAAGTTTTTAAGTAAAAATGAACGCAATATCTTTACAAACGACCTTTGCAACTCGATGTTAACGCTAAACACATGAACGTGGTGCAAAATAATCTGAATTTATTTCTCTTAAAATATACTATACTAGCATCCTTCCTTCGCTTTGCTTTGATATAACATTCAATTGTAATATAATAGAATAGCAAACACTTTATTTATGGCAGCCATTGCTTAAAGAGAACATAAAATAAAAACAAACATATATCTTCACGCTGAAAAGGCTCGACGGATTTAGATGGTGTTTAGTATACAAAATACAGATAGACTTTGTTCTGGAGTAACATATAGACTACTATTCGTAATAAAATTTGCCAAAATATGGCCCTCTGTAAATAATATTTGAATGCAAAAGGCACCTGGGGCGCACCCGAGCCATTATTATAAACCAATTTTGTCATTATTATATTTTATGCTTATACGCTTTGTATCAAGATAATTTTAAACTTTATAATAGATTATTATATAGTATTTATGAATGCCTTCATTTATTATTTTCAATATTGTGTTTATAATTTAGCAAACGAAGATAGTGAATTTAAAATGTACCTTAAACAGTTTCAAATTATACCACTCATAAAATATTTAAAAAGCCCAATAAGAGCCTTTCAACGCAGACACAACCCCTTCAACAATGCCATTATAAGTACAATAAAGTTTAATGCGTCGAACGCGGAACGCTTAACGTAAAGTGCTCTGGACAGCAATCCAATATGAAGCGAAACAAAAACTCGCTGATTTTTCAAAAGTTTTTACTTTAAAGCATTCTACGAATAAAATTGTAATGGAATCGATATTGATGTACTTTTTAATGAAGTTGAAATTTTAAGAGATGTATTTCTATGGCCGCTATAACAGCAAATAATTAAAATAAATAATAAAAATACAAGAAACATTTTTTAACGTTCGTAATCGATCATAGAAGTTAGTGTACTACATATATAGAGTAAAAGTCATATTAATAAAAAGTACCCACACGTACGATGGTACGAAACCCTTCGTGTGCGAATGCCACTCGCACTTGACCGTTTTCTTTATAATACAAGATCTTTAGAATTTATTTTCCATTCTATTTTAGGGACTGTCCACTCTTTCATGTCCGAATGTGATAAAAAAATAGGCACGTCCAGTCGATTAAGTAATGAATCGTAATTGAAGTCGTTTATAATAATAAAAATATTTAAGAATAAGTCGTTTTTAAATTATTCTTCTACAAAAAATATTATTAACAATAAACTAGAAACGTTGCCAATAACTTTACAAGTCACAATTGACCTTATTCGTACAAGAGCCAAATCGCACTTCATAGAATAAGGGCCCTTATCGCTTTTGTAGTTTAAGAGACTAGCTGTTTTGTGCGTATTTTTCAATAGAAAATATGAAATTTATTTAATTTGAAATAAAGGGATCTGATCTGCTTACATATCTACACACATAATACTCGCCACATACATAAAGAATATGTAGAATATTTTTATGATATAATAATATTTATGTAGGTATAAATCAAATATTTCTATATATATTAGATATATACTCGTATACTTGTATATAGTATTCCTATAGATTTTAGAGCCTGATGTCTGTCAAATATTACGAGTAGTCTACCTATGGAGGAAAGTATTTTGGAGGTTTTGTTGTCATAGTAGTAAAATGTTTAGGAAAAGGACTGTAATAAAAATTTATCATGACAATTAATTTTTTTTTAATATTTGACAAATTACTTTAAGCTTCAATTTGAAGGCTAAAAATATCTGAAATTACTGGTAACTTGTGTAGTTACTATATTATGAATTCTAATAAAATTATCCCATAAATGTACATTTAATTGGTAAAATTATAATTAAATATATAATGGAAAGGTATGTAAACCATAACTAAAAATTAAGTATATTTTTTACATATGTTTAAAATACTAAAAACTCTACAACCAAATGAATTCTATACACCCACTCATGGCTTTAGTTTTTTATTTATTATTCCGAAATTATTTGATAAACCCAAAGTGTTTTCATCTTCATTAAACTTTATGCAAAATTTATTAAAACCCATCACGCAGTAATAACAAAGGCAAAGTGGAAAATACTCATCATATACAGTAGACTAAGGCTATATATTCTGGCCGATAGGCTAGGAGATGCTTGGATTTGTTTTAGTGGGGAAATAAACATTAACGAAACAAAGTAAGACAAACATACGAGCAAGGATATGAAACAATATTTTACCTAAATTATATTTATTAGTTTTCCAAAGAGTAAATGTGGCCATTATTACTACACACTAGATATTTAATACTTTCTTAGATTTACGTGATTATTTGACAATTTAAATAAAACTATCTTTTCGGATTATGGTCACGACGAGAGACGTGGGTCTCTCCCGTGACCATGATTGCTGTAAACCATCGGGAACCAAAAAATCAAAATGAATACGCGAAAAATTCGTACTATTTAAAAAAATTTAAAATTATTAATTTGTAATTGTATTTATAGAAAATATTATAAAATACTAATTTTAAGAATCATAATATATTTGTACATTGCTTTCCAAACCAATGTAGTAGGTTCCTTTAAAAAGATTTCGATTTAAATAAAGTATAGTAAAATTTTAAATGCATTTGATATATAAATTTATTTTAATAATAATTAAAATAAATAAACATAAAACGTTTAAAATATATTTCTTAAAACATCGTATTAAAATATTAAAGTATAAAAATCTCACCTTTATGCTGTAAAGCACCGGTCCGCACATCCGCGACAAACATCGCTAGGATGCTTAATATCCAAAACAATGAATGCATTATTGTTTTCATTTACACTTTTTTTCTGTTACACTCAATTTAGCCTCCTATCGACGTTTTCTCAATTTAGGTAAGAGTTTTTATTGGACACGAAGCGCCTGAAAAACAATTGTGAATAATTTTCACATCAGCGCGCATTATTCTACAAAATCGCTACAAAGTCCTAACATTTACTTAATCGTTTCTTTTGTTTAAGAAACTGAACCTATTTGCCACTTATTCTTGCGTTAATCAGCTACCATTTTATCACATCACATTCTTCTTTTTTTCTTTTTTTTTTAAATATTCTTTGTCATTTTTTAATTAAAATCTTCATATCCTTTGTATATTAAGTTAAGAATTTAGTTTGTCAAACAATGTAAACAATTGAAAAAAAATGCTAATATAAATATCTTTATAAATATTTTACTGTGTATAAAAGGTACATAGAAATCACTTTGTTATGGTATATAATATGCATATTTCTTTGTGAAGAAAAGCAGACAACTCATTAAATTGTTAATTAAATTCAAAAACTCCTATTATACCTTAAAACTGCTCATTGTCTACTCCACACCTAAATCAATACTAATTAGTAATTATGAAATCAAATAATAACAACACGAACTTGACATCAAATATTAAGGGACTGAAAGATATTGGAAAGAATTGTTTTCATTTACCTCCAAAAATTATGTTTACATCAAATCTTACACCAAAAATAAAAATAACTTATTAAATTTTAACACATCTAATAAACAGTTGAAAGATTTTATTCACAATATACATATAAAACGCGTACTTTTAAACGCTACGACGTAGCTGAGCGCGTAGCATCTCCAGCTACGTCACAGAGGCGACTGCCGTAGCGAAAGAGATGCTGGAGAGCTGTACTTATTTCCTGGAAATCATCTCAATAAGCGAGACAAAATTTTTGTTTCACTCACATTGCTGTTTTTACTTCAAGGAACGATACAATTTTATTAATAAAACCAGAAATCTTACGCACCTTAACTTAATGATTTTATGTGGTTAATGTAACTTGGTTTATCAATATCATGTTAATGGCAACAAGCTGTCACTCAGTGGATTGCGTGGCATTGAGTAGATTATTGTCTCTATTTTTCATCTCATTTTATACGAATTATATTTATTTTGTAGTTCCATTTATGCATAACTATTTTAATTATAATTTCTTTCGTACATCATTTACTTGATACTAAAGAATTATTACATGATTTTAGTCATATAACTTCAAAACATATCCTTGATATGTTTTGCAGTTTATTTTTTATTTTTATTATTTTTCATACATATATGTATCGTATACATATTTGTATGAAAATAAAAGCAGCATAAAATGAAAAATCTACTAAATAATAATTGTATTATTTAGTAGATTTTTCATTTTATGCTGCCTAATTTTCTTTATATAGTTTTTTTCTGTTAATAAACGTAATGTATAGGACATCTCAATATTTACTCCAATAAACATCAATATCGCCAACATTAGAGAAGCTAAACTATCGCACAAATTTGAGAAATATGAAATGTAACTATAAGAATAAAGAACATTGCAAAAACTTTTTATTACACTGATAATATTATTAAAAACTCATATCAAAATAGCAATGTCTGCAATGCGGGAGATATAATTGTTTAAAATAAGTGTAATATATTTTGGGGCTGAATAAATAAATCTCGCAGAAAAAGTGTAGAGTGTGAGGGTGGATAAGGGGTGGATACATTAATTGGCAATTTCCGTATCCGAATGCCCATTCCCCATATTATTCATCAGATATTAGATAATGGCGTTCATTTGCTTGCTTGTCCTTAATGATTTGTTAGATAAATTTCTTGTTACTATATTATATATACATCTATACAGATAAATAAAATTGAAGTGTCTTTTTGTAATGTCAAAATAACAGCGTTTTACTAAATGCATATGAAATTATATACGGTACTTATAAGAAAAACACAATTATTAAAATTTTGGTCTGTCTGTCTGACTGTTTGTTCCGGATAATCTCTGAAGCAGCTGGACTGATTTTGACGGGACTTTCACTGGAAGATAGCTGATATTATAGGGAGTAATATAGGCTACTTTTATTTTAGAAAAAGTATTAGGGTTCCGCTCAAAAAAATTAAAACGTATCTAGGAACGAACCCGAGCGAAGCGAGGGTAAGTTGCTAGTGAATACATATCAAAGAAGAGTTTCATATAATTTTATTAAGTACATACATGATACATGGCATAATATAAATAATATCCAATATTTTACATATAATCAAAATAACGTTTAATAAATTTATCTAGTACGAGTATACATTTTAGTAACGTACATTTTAATATAAAAGCAAGTTGAAACTTCAATAACGCATTGAATTCGTATTGGAAAGTTTGTATGTTAAATAATTGGGACGGACGGCGGCGCGGTCAATATACTCGTATAATTGGACCTGTGAAAACGTGCTTTATTAAAATTTCGAATGCGAACTATTTTAAGCTTTTAATTGTTTTCTCGGCAAATATCGTTATCACTACACAGTTTATAAAATATCTGGAACAGGGGTGATAATTATAATAGTTTTCGTTCTTTCAAGTCAGGGCTCGGAAACCCGTTCAATTTTTAAACCGGCTTTAGTTATTGACCCCAAGCCGAAAGGCTTGTTTAAGATTTCGGTTACGTTCTTTAAATACCTAGTTACATCCCGGAGAACGGTTATTGACGAATTTAAGTTCCACAATCAAAACTGTTTAAAATGAGTTTTTGTGCGCTTACATTCAGCGAATCTTTGCTAATGGTGAATTGCTTAGTAGAAGGACACATGTGCGTTTCATACTTGGACCCAGTTATGCAAACAACAAAAATAAAGTAGCAACAGAGTTATAAACATTTTTCTGTCGATAGTTGCACTTGGGTTATGTTTTGTTTATCTGGTTATTTTAAAATTGAACAATATTTATATAAGTATTGTTTATTTTTTATAATTATTTTATTTTTTATAATAAAATGCTTATAACTCTGTTGGTACTTTTACGCACATGGCTGTTTTTTGCATAACTGGGTCCACTTATAAAAACCAAAATTCAACCTTTCTCTAAGATTAAACGTTAACCATTTATTATTATTTCGGTTTACTAAACCGTTCATTTTCATTAACTGATTAAAGAACGAGCAATGAATTAACCGTTACATTGCCGAAATAAAGCGTTGTTTTTTTCAAACCAATTCCGAGCTCTGGTTCAAGTTTAGATATCAAATATTTCATTCTTCTCAAGTGGTATATAAAAAAATAAATACACAATACATAATATAATACTAAGCAACATTGTGCCACGTATCTCAATATCGCTATCAAATATTCTGCATTTTATACTACTTTACTGTATTTTATTAGAATGAATTCATTTCATTTATTTATCTGTTTGTTTTAATTTTCTCAAGAAGTGAATATTTGTGTTGTCCATACAAATCTTGGTCTTTGTCTGCATGAGACAAAGCGCGACGATGAAATCCACAATCTAATACACAAAGTCGAGACACTCGATGCTAACGCAAAGCGAATAACGGACTGCACAGCTTGTATAGTGACCGTAAATAGCATGATAATCTGTACATATAATAAAACAGTAACTTAGCGAAATCGATGTGCGCGTTTAACGCAAAACATACTGAACCGATTTTAATTAAATTTTGTGTAAACAAAAATCCAAATAAATCCGCGACAAAATCCGAAAAGATAGTTTTATTTAAAATAGTGATAACTTATTACTCGGGTCAACATTTATGATACCTTTTACTTTTACCACGGGAAAACACAATAACCGGTTCTATCGATTCGTCCTTAGAAATTTATAACGCTGGCTAAACCTTATACATCAAAGAAATGTACTCGAAAATTATAGGTCTTAAAAGGGCCTACAGCAAAATCCGCATTAGTATATGTATCTAGTATACTATCTCCCACGGTACACAATCGCAGTAACTATTTGTATTATGTATTAAAGGTAATGTCGCGACTCACTGACTGACTTATCAACATTCAGCTCAAACCGAGATGATAGACCAGCAGCACTAAAAACGGCTTTAAATGTAGGTACATATATCGACACTAATATTAAATTCGAAAGTGACCGATTTAGACAAAATTGGGTATGGAGAAAGTTTGAGACCCTAGAAAGCAATAGGATAGTTTTTATCTCTAAATACATCTCTTTTGAGGGGTTCAAAATGGGTGGAAGTTTGAAAGGGGAATCAGTCATTTTTCAAGTAAGGGACATATATTTTTTTTATTTTTAAAATACTTGCGAATTTTTTTATACCTATGTATGTACATTGCACATATATATATCTAAGAAGCATACAAGAGGTTTGAAGGCTCTTACAAAATTCAAATATATTAAGCAAATTTTATATAGTCTAATTAATAATATAAGATCAAAACATTGCACCGATCCAATTAAAAGTTGAGCTGAGCGTGTACCGGTAATAATTACGCTTGTTCACTGTACGAACTGTGACACTCCGAGTGTAACTTACAACACTTGTTACAACTTTGTGGAGTCGGCAAACTGTAGGGTGAAGGATGTCATTGTGATCTTGTGAACTCAAATATTTAAGAGATATCTTAAGTTTTGAATTGATGAGAATAGGTAACAACTGCCTACCTTTTTAAAGGAATATTTACTTACAAATGCTTATTATTTATATCTAATGTTATTGGAGGTTTGTTTTCTTTAGGCGTCTATGACACCTTTTCATATTTTAAGCTACTTTTCATGTAATTACTTTTATGTTTTATTGGTTTAATATCGTTCATAAATTTCCAATAGGTTATCGTGCGGAAAACGTCTGAAACTCCACTAATCTTTTTATCGCTAGTACGTCTCCGTATAAAAAGACAAATCCTTAGAACTGACTCGCTACTAAAATTAGAGTGGTTCGATTGAGATAAGTCCAGACCAAATGAAAAGCTGA